GAGGGCAAGACTGGACCTTCTAATACACGGTGCCCTTTTCATCTGGGGCAAAGGATGGTTGTAGTGACTTGTATCAAATAATTTAGTGGTCTCCAAAATTAAAAGAAATATTGTTTATGCTTCTTTTCCTCTTTTTCAATAGAAGATACTATGTTAGGAGCCAAAAGACATACATTTTAGTACTAGCTCCCTAGTCACTATTACAGTAATCTTGGTCTTAAGACCAGTCTCTGGGGCGCCTGGGTGGCTCAGTTGGTTAGGCGACTGCCTTCGGCTCAGGTCATGATCCTGGAGTCCCTGGATCGAGTCCCGCGTCGGGCTCCCTGCTCGGCGGGGAGTCTGCTTCTCCCTCTGACCCTCCCCCCTCTCATGTGCTTTCTCTCATTCTCTCTCTCTCAAATAAATAAATAAAATCTTTAAAAAAAAAAACAAAAAACAAAACAAAAGACCAGTCTCTGAATTTAAAATTCCTCACTAGTCAACCCCACACAATTGCTATAAATGCCATTGACATAATGTATGCAATGAATAAATTACTATTACAAAGCCAATAATTGGCAGAATTGGGGCCAGAATTTAAGTTTACTCTTCTTATTCTAGTAGCTTTGTTACTCCTTTTACTCAAATCTTGTATTATTTCCACACATTGGCTTTGGTATATCTTGTAGGCCAACACTGAGCAAGATATATTTCATATAAAAAATAATCCTTCCACCTTCACCTCCAGAGCTCTTTTTTGTCTTTTAATTTTTATTTATTTATTTGAGAGAGAGATAGCACAGAGGGAGAGTGAGAGGGAGAAGCAGACTCCCCGCCGAGCAGAGAGCCTGATGTGGGGCTTGATCCCAGGACCCCGAGATCACGACCTGAGCCAAAGGCAGATGCCCAACTGACTGAGCCACCCAGGTGCCCCCACCTCCAGAGCTCTTGAACAAGTTACTTTCTTAACTAGGGTTGTCCATTTCCATTGTCATGGGTACTCACCTCTGAGAAGGAGAAAGTATAACCAATAAGTATGATTCTAGACCTTTCTGCAATTTTTGGATCTCTTACTAACTTCTACCCATAAAATATCTATGGTCATTTTGGGTTAGAGTCTGCCAATTGGTATATACTTTATAGAATGCAGAAAATTTATGAAAAAAAAAAGAAATTAATGATGTAGAATTTGCTATAGGATGTAATACTTGCATTTACTGAAAGAAAAAAAAGTAAATAGAGTATTTTAGATATTTTACCAAAATTATTTTTATACTGTTTACAATATTTTATTCACTCTTCTTACCAAGAACTATCTTTAAAAAAATCATAATTGGCCACAATAAGGACCTTTAATTCTTAACTGTTAATTCTGCTGAAATGTCAGTATTGTCATATTCTGACCACAGTGGATTGAATCTTGGCATATATTTGAATTGTTCCAGGTCTGAAGCCCTAGACTTCCAGTAACTAGTCATGGGACCTGAGGCAAATGACTTAGCCCTCCTATGTCTCAGTATTCCCACCTTTGAAATGGGGATAATATGGGAATGCAAGCTGGTGCAGCCACTCTGGAAAACAGTATGGAGATTCCTTAAAAAGTTGAAAATAGAGCTACCTTATGACCCAGCAATTGCACTACTAGGTATTTACCCCCAAAGATACAAAGGTAGTGATCTGAAGGGGCACCTGCACCCCAATGTTTATAGCAGCAATGTCCACAATAGCCAAACTATGGAAGGGGCCCAGATATCCCTCAACAGATGAATGGATATAGAAGATGTGGAATGAATACATGTATAATGGAATATTACTCAACCATCAAAAAAGGGAAAACTTGCCATTTGCAATGATGCGGATGGAACTAGAGGGTACTATGCTAAGTGAAATAAGTCAATCAGAGAAAGACAATTATCTCACTCATATGTGGAATTTAAGAAACAAAACAGAGGATCATAGGGGAAGAGAGGGAAAAATAAAACAAGACGAAATCAGAGAGGGAGACAAACTGTAGGAGACTTTTAATCATTGGAAACAAACCGAGGGTGCTGGAGGGGAGAGGGGTGAGTGGATGGGGTAACTGGCTGATGGGCATTAAGGAGGGCACCTGATGTAATGAGCACTGGGTATTATATAAGACTGATGAATCCCTGAACTCTACCTCTGAAACTAATAATAGATTATATGTTAATTGATTGAATTTAAATTAAAAAAATAAAAAACAAAAAAAAATGAAATGGAGATAATAATAGTTTCCTTGGAAAGGTTGTTCTGAGGGTGAAAATGAGAAGATGGAAGGAAAGCAACTAGAACATTATGTTACTTTCCTGGAACTATCATTGCCAGAGTTCTTTGATATTCCAAGGGACAGAACTAAAAAGAAATAATGAGAAGTTACTGGTAGATAGATTTCAGAAGCACAATAAAAAATGCCCTTTGATCTTTCTGCTACTAATTTATAATTAGGAGAATAATCCTTTTTCTGGCCCTGCCAATAACTTACTGTGTTACTTTTAACAAAAATAACTTTCACAAGCAGCTAGAGTTAAGTTCACAAACTGTGCAAAGAAAATTCAGCCAAGGGGTACCTGGGTGGCTCAGTCAGTTAAGCGTCTGCCTTTGGCTCAGGTCATGATCCCAGGGTCCTGGGATCGAGCCCAGTGTCAGGCTCCCTGCTCAGCAGGAAGCCTGCTTCTCCCTCTTCCACTCCCCCTGCTTGTGTTCCCTCTCTCACTGTCTCTCTCTGTTAAATAAATAAATAAAATCTTTTAAAAAAGAAAAAGTAACAAAAAAAAAGAAAAGAAAATTCAGCCTTCAGGTAATCTAGCTCTTCCTCTCTTACCCTATGTTCAATCAAGAATAGTGTTCTCAGTTAATCCTTTAAAACACTAACATCTGATTCTTCTTCATTCCCATGCTACTGCTTTTAGGTCAACCTTGTCCCTTTTCAGCAGGGTCTCTCCAGTTCTTATTTGTATATATTTTTGGGGGACTTATTTTTAAAAAAAGAAACTTTCCTTGGTTTTAAAATGCAAGCTTATTATTTAAAAATATGGAAACTACATAAATAAAAAGTGACCATTATTTATAATCATGTAGCAATGACTTCCATTAAAGCTACTTTTTACTTAAAAGTTTTCATTTTCCTTTGAGTATTTTAAAATTTACTTGGAATTTTCCTCTGTAGTTCTAGTTCTTATATTGTTGACAGCATGCTGTACACACTACTAACTTTAAGGGATATCCTACACTTTCTCCTACCTTATGTCTTTATATACGCTGTTCTTTCTACTTGTGATGCCCTTCCCTACCCTATACTATTCTTTCCTTCTTGGCAGTCCCACTAGACTGCGAGGTCCTTGAGGTCAGTTATCTCTTTCAGTACTTATCATTGGGGTGTGTGTGTGTGTGTGTGTGTGCGTGTGTGTCAACATCTTATGAACTTGTGTGATGCTACAGTGTGTTTTTCTATCAAAATTATATGTGATAAGTGAATATGATTGTTCTTTTGCATAGTGTTCAGTGACTAGTGATGTCTGATTCTTAGTTACACATAGCTATGCAAGAAAATGTTTTGGGAACTTAAAAGGAAGATGTATAACTTTCCTGTGGTAAATTCCTATTCAGAATCATTTAGCCACTTATGGCATTTGTTTATGTGTTCATCTCTTTCACTAGGCAAAGACTGTCTTATTCATTTTATGTTTCCAGCATTTCCCACTGTACTTCGCACAGAATAAGTGCTCCATCAATAAGAAAGGAAAAATTAAATAAGCAAAAATGTCAAATTAGTGATAAAACCAGACCAACTAAATTCTTATGAAACACAGAGCAGTCACTATATACATAAATAGTACCTATTTTTTTTATAAAATCAGAATAATATATATTTTCTCTTAGTACTTACTATATGTATGCTTAATATCGAATGCACTTGATGATTATAATATTCATTAATACAGTCCTCACAAAATCTAACAAATAAAATAAGACTTCATTATGGGTGCTAGACCCATCATGCATTATGGGTGCAAGACCTATGGGTGCTACTGAGTAAGACTTAACAGGTAATAAGATTGTGATAAAATGTTTAATCGTTATACTTAAATGTTGTGTTTAAAAACTTTGGATAGTTGGGGCGCCTGGGTGGCTCAGTTGGTTAAGCCACTGCCTTCGGCTCAGGTCATGATCCTGGAGTCCCGGGATCGAGTCCCGCATCGGGCTCCCTGCTCAGCGGGGAGTCTGCTTCTCCCTCTGACCCTCCCCCTTCTCATGCTCTCTCTCTCTATTTCATTCTCTCTCTCAAATAAATAAACAAAATCTTTAAAAAATAAAAAAATAAAAAAAATAAAAACTTTGGATAGGTAACCAAGTATCAGGAACAAGAATTATAAATATGCTTTTAAATTTCTTATACTTGAAGTCACATCACTTGCATTCTATTTGTAAAACTCTCTCAACAGAGTTTATGCCATGACTGGTCCAAACGATACTTGATAACTAATGGTTAGAGGGAACAGACTGATATTTAAGATGTGAATCTGCACCATGGTAACTTTGATCTGTTATTTTATATTACGGATAACCAGATATGGCATTTTTTAAAAAGGTCTAGATCACTCAAGAAAAGGAACGGCTTCATTGCACCAATGGGAACTGCTCCTTAGCATAGCTTAAAAAACAGATAAATGGATAGAGAGACAGAGAGAGAGAGAAAGAGAGAGAGATGAGAGATAAGGTTTCTTTTTTTTTGGAGGGGACGCTTTTGGGAAAAGAGTCATGCTCTGTACTTTGTAATAAATCTAAAGAGTAGGTAGGTACTTCTAAAATCAGTTGTGTAGCTTGCTCTTAAAATGATGACACAGTCCATTCATTGTGGTTAAAGTCCGTTCTGGGTTGCTTGAGAATACAGTTTGCCCTTTTTACAAGTCTGACTGTTACTGTACATTTTCTCTTTTGTGTAAGGTCACTTAGTGAGATTAAACTGTTTGCTACAATACTACTTCTCAAACTACGCGTACCTGCTTTCCAAGGGTGATATTATAATGAAGGTGGTAGGAACAAGCCGCCGCACAACGAACTGTAGCCAGGAGACATCTGAATAGGTATAGATGCTTAGGGCACATGTATTTCCCACGTTTTTCCAAATGCAATCCTAGGGATATATGTAAAACTTGTATCTGGGGGAAAGTAAGCATTAAATAGAATTTGCCAAGTAAAGCACATGACAATTTTTTATTAATGAGGTACTAAAAAAACAAAGCAAAATAAAAAAATCTTAATTATAAATAAAAAATATTAAACATCATTTATTCATTCTATCAATAAAGATTATTGAGGACCTACTTGTGCCAGGCACTCTTCACTATTTGCAAATAAAACGGAGAGAAATTAAAGTGAAAGTAGAAACATAACGAACCAGTGGCAATCACAAACTCAAAGCTGACAATCGTTGAAACATGCTTGGTTCTCGGGGACTTGGCAGGAGGACTACGTATTCTCAACTTCCGTCTCCTGAACAGGTTACGTTCTTCCCGGGGTTTTCAAATCTTTCCTTGCAAAGCTAATTCTGACAGTTCTTAACTTTGCCCAACCAGTTAAGCCACGCGAACGCCTCCTATGATAACAAAGAAAATCGAACTGGAGAAAACACCTTCAGTGCTGACTTCGGGCATCTAAGATTTGATGGCAGCACGTGTCTTCCGAGTGCCTCTCACCAAGAAGAGATAATGCATATGAAGATAGTCAAAATTGTGGGTTCTGGGCGCCTGGGTGGCTCAGTCGGTTAAGCGACTGCCTTCGGCTCAGGTCATGGTCCTGGAGTCCCGGGATCGAGTCCCGCATCGGGCTCCCTGCTCGGCGGGGAGTCTGCTTCTCCCTCTGACCCTCCTCCCTCTCATGCTGTCTCTCATTCTCTCTGTCTCAAATAAATAAATAAAATCTTTAAAAAAAAAAATTGTGGGTTCAGTTGTATCAAAATGTGATTTATGCCAAAATGGATCTGGGAATGTCAATAATTGCAGAAGAAATGACAAGTTTTAAATTCCTCAAAAGAGAAGTGAATTCAGTAATGATTTAACTTTTTTTTTTTTTTTTGGCTACTGCAACGTGGAGCACAGTCCTTTCCTGCAAAGCTTTAAAATTTTTATTTTTCCTTGAGCAAGCCTTGGGAACCTAATAAAGTGTTATAAGTCTCTTGAGCAGCACATATCTTAGTGTTGTTACCCTCCTGGCATATTTTTGGCATGATACGACTTTTGCCATCAAAAAAAATTAAACTGAAGTGCCACCGACAGAATTTCAAGTAAACAAAGCATCAACTGAAAGCACAGGGCCTCCATGTGCTGGGAGCTCTAACAGCTGGTCATCTGCAAATGGACAACTTTAATTCGATTCCTGGCACCATTGGCCATGCTGAGAATTCTCCTATCTCTTCACACCAGGGGTTTGCTCTTTTAAGCATTGCTCCCTGAAGGGAAGGAAAAACTAGAGAGAGAGGATTTCCAATGACCCTGCACAGATGAATGGATATGTCAATGGTGAATATTGGTTCAGCTTTGAAACAGAGAATCCTGCAGTGGTCTCGCTTCTCCAGCCCTTCTCCACTAGCGTGAGTGTTGCCAAAGACTTGTGTGAGCAGGAATCTTTAATAGATTAGGGCAGGGAATGAGAAAGCGAAAGCACAAACAGAAAAAAAAAAAGACAAAATGCTTTTTAAAAATTAATGGTAGTTTAAATGTTTGGGAAATTCAATTCTCAAGAGATGAGTAAAAAGAGCATCCACACTTGTGTTAGTGAAGTTTTACATTTAAAACTTGAGACTTTGAAAGGAAATTCCCAAACACTAATTGCTCATAGAGTCAATTAGTAATCTAGTGTCCATCTGACAGGTCTTGAGGAACAATTAGCTCCTGAGTTGAGCACTAAGCACTTTGAATCGTATTCTTTTCCTTGCCAGTGTTATAATGAAAGTGCGTGAACACACACACACACACACACACACACGCAGAGTAAAAAAAAGGAAGAAACATCCGTTCTATTTCGTTTGGGAGATGAGCATTTCAGTTACTAATCTTGCAACTGGGTAGATGTAAAAATTCTGCCCGAATAACTACTGAACAGGCATTTATTTTCACGTGCTTTATGGTTAGTTTTCACTCAGCTATCAATCAATCAATTATGCTGTGACATGATGTAATTTCCTAATCATACTAATATTCATGCTTTTATCACTATCAAACCTAGAGCACATACATTTCAATGAGACAGAAGTCTAATTATTTAAATATGTTAGAGCATATTACATCTCCAAGGCTGTATCCTTTATGAGTTTTTCTCCACTAAAAGAAATCTAATCTAATTGCAAAGAGAGAAGTATATTAAACAGCATTTTACCCTTCCAGTAAGCAAAACTGATTTTTTTTTTTTACAGATCCCAATAAGTACAGAATTTTTTATGGGCCCTTATTTAAAATTAATGTTTTGTTTTTCTTTTTTTTGCTTGCTAATAAAAGTAGAATAATAGAATTCATCATAAAAATGAAACGATAATCATACTCAAGGTGAACAAGAAAATATTTTTATTTTCTTTTTCAATGTTCTTGACCTGAAAAAAATATAAAGACTAACTACGAATTGCTTTATATCTCTAAAATATGATTTTGCATTATTTCTTATGACTGGCTTAGTTCTCAGGGTGTTTTTTCTACTTAAAATGGTTCATACTGAAAAATAGCACTTGAATCATTTCAACGTTAATGTGACATGTGCCAGAGAAAAGTTTAAACTTTTTCAGGCAAGACCACTTGCCCTGATGCATTTGTTACAATCTATAATTACAGGCTCTATTGTGCAGATTACTTTAAAGGCAATAAATCTCCTACCCAGTAGAAGTTACACATGGCAAACATATACTGTGTTCCCTCAGATCTTTGTAAGAGAAAAAATTCAGACTCAGTTGCTACAATGATCACTTCCTACACTGCTCTGAGGCCAACAGTCTGCTAAAACCCTGGCTATAGCTCCTCGGATACATTGTTTTAAAAACACAATTTGTTTTAATGTACATTTTAAAGATATTCCTGAAAATTCCATTACTCTCTTCAGTGGGGAATGAGCACAGATACATTGAAACCAAATAGGAAAAAGTTACACCTTGAACAAAACAACAAAAATCCCAAAGGCATTATTTTTCAAGTACGAAATCAATTATTTTTCAACCAATAAAAGTTGTCTCTTCTAAATTTCTCAGGGAGGACTAAAATGCACTGGGGATTCCTTTTGTACTTTACCTACGTAGTTTATTGCTCTTCACCTGACGTTCTAATATTTAGTTTTTTGTAAACATAAATAGATACATACATGAATATTTTAGGCATGAAGTTAGGTTAATTAACACATTTTCAAACAGAATGCTTATTGTATTCTTCTTCTTCTTCTTCTTCTTCTTCTTCTTCTTCTTCAAGTGTTGTCTTTAGTGTTACAATAACTACTCTGCTAAAAAGCTATTATGAAACTACAGATACGTACACACACTTGTACACGTGTAAAGAAGTTTCATATTACCTTTACATTTACTTCTAAAATAAAAAGCTTTTGGAGAAAACTTCCATGTACTTTAGAATTAGCACATCATTATAAAATAGTAAACTGCCTTTTAATTATGAAAAATCAATATGTTTAATCAAGTTAACAAATGCAGGACATATTGAACTGGAAAATTTCACAACTTTGAACTAAGGAACAAGAATGCAAGAATTAAGAAGATTCAGTCTGTTCCTAATCATTTTCGTGAAAACCCCCACCAGCTAGCTACTCATTGTACCATTTTCTTTCAACAGCGCACCTCCTCCTGCCACCCTATCTCCCTAATATATATAGTTACGTGTGTGTCTACACATGTGTTTCTACAATTAAGTTATGGTTGTTTTTATTTTATACATTTCTGCTCAGGAAACAATCATTTGTAACAACTGACTTTAAATATGTTTTATACTTTTAAGAGTCCATACTTAAAAAGCAATTTGATTCATTTCTCTGGAAATGAACTTTCTTATGTGAGCAACATCTCAGAGTTGGATAACAAATCAAGACTTATTCACTTGAAAAAAAAAAAAAAAACCCGACAGTTTGGATGGTATGCCAGGTCTTTGAACTATATTTAGTTACACAAAAGACAGGGTTAACAAAAACACACCTGAGCAGAACAGCAGTGTCATCTTATGCTAAAGAAAAAAAGCCAAAAAAGCTAATAATCCCTCAACATGTCCTTAATCAAATCAAATATTTAGAATAAAACTGGTGTATATGAGTCCTGGCCCTTTGAACCTCAAGTTTCCTAAACAGCGATAAATACCAGGGATCCCCAAAGAGTCTCTTCCTTGTCCCTTAACAGACTGTTTGGCATCAAGTGCTCAGTGGGCTGGAAACCCACAGCCAGCCAGGGAGGGACAGCACAGACGGAACCATGTTTACTCTGTCAGGGACAGCTGATTAGGATGACACCAACTCTTCACATTAAACCTGCTAAGCAGGGCTTTACCCAGAGGGCTTCCCGAAACTGGAAGCATTCACCAGTGAATTGACAAACTATGCTATATGTTAATAATGAAGAGTAGGCTGCTGTAGCTGCTTATACAATGCATGTTAATTATGAACTCTCCGAAAATGGATTTTCCCCAAACTTCATTTTGAAAAGCTAGGATTGTGCAGTTTAAAGTTATTATTATTTTTTTTATTTATTCATGAGAGACAGAGAGAGAGAGAGAGAGAGAGAGAGAGAGGCAGAGGGAGAAGCAGGCTCCCAAGGAGCAGGAAGCCCGATGCGGGACTCGATCCCAGGACCCTGAGATCATGACCTGAGCCGAAGGCAGACGCTTAACCATCTGAGCCACCCAGGCGCCCCAGTTTAAAGTTATTTAAAGAGAGTGTCGACAGTAACTTCATCATGCTATTTTTATATTTGACTTATTTCAGAGTCAGGGATTACTAAAGGAGAATTTCAGAAATCAATGGAAAAATTAACAGCCAAAGCTTCAATTTCCTATCACTGAATCACAGAGCTTGAAGGGACTTTGAAGGCCGTTCGTTCAGCCCCTGCATCTTACACTTGACGCGGGGGGAGGCCCAGAGCTCTTACATCTCAGTAGCAGCAGCATCCGAATGAGAACCAAGAAGTCCTGCACCAGTCTGGGGAGCTTTCCATTATCCAATCCTGGCTGCTTTATACCTTTTCAGAAAATTAAAAATCCATATGCTAGAAAGTAATCATAATTTCAAAGATAGTCCTCCAGAGGCAAAGGAGGTGGAGAACTGATGAGGAAAAAAAGACAGAATTGCAATGGCAGCAAATCTCATGGGTGGAACCCTTAAAGATAAATCAGATTTAGTGGATACAAAATATTTTTCTTAGAGTCATACCACGACCTGTGTTGGTAACAAGTAGGGATGAGCTTATCCTTCATTTCCCACTTAAAGTCTAGTAAAGAAGTCTGGGGTCCATGTGTTTATAGAACCTATGTTCTTTAGACCACTCAGGCTCCAAAGATTTCCAGCAGAATTCAGGGTTATGCATTATGATGCATTTCAGTAATAAAGAACACTTGTCTCTCAAAACTGTTGTGCTATAATCATATACCAACCTAACTAGATAGACGCATTTGGTTGTCATTTTAGGTAAAAGAAATATTCTTTTTCCGTCACTTTAGAATATTCTGGCTTAGGTCATTTGTGCATGGCTGAGTCATGACTCCCAGCATGTAAAATACTCACTGAGAATTTGTTTTCTGAAAGTATATTTCCTCTTTAGCCATTATGGTCTAGTTTCACACACTGTTAGGCTAGGCTGATGCTAATGACTAGCACCCTAGTAATCCAAGAGAAGTAATGACTGCTTCCCAAAAGCTTCTAGAAATACTTGCAAAGCCGGTGGGACAGTGAACGACAATGCTAGATTTAGGAGAAAACAAGTCTGGGCAATTAGTCTCAGCTCAAGTAATTAGTTGTGTTCACTTAGCCCTTTGATCATTTGTTTCCTCATCTACAAATGGAGTTAAATTAGACGATCCCTAAGGCCTTCTTTATTTCTACAATGTTATGCTAAGAAACTAACTCTAGGGACTAGAGAAACGGGAAGGTGGGAGAGTATGCCGTATCTAAGACAACCTAAAATGTATAAAATGCTATGGGTACTCAGAGGAAGGAATACCTTCTGTCAGGACTCTTAAGTTCTCAAAGACAAGTACTGAAGATAAGTCATCTCTCTGTCACCACTAGCTAACGCAGTTCTTAGTCCATGTAGCTCCTTATTAATTATATATCAGATGAATAAATAAATCTAAGTCTTGTAGGATGGAAAAGTGGAATGGCATACAGACGTAACAATGTATGTAAAAGCTTTACAGATATGAAAGGTTTTGGTATGTTCAAGAAAAGAAGTGTCCTTAGATCATGAGAACTGTGGTATAATGATGGTCAGAAGTTGGCTTCCATTCAAGAAGGGACCTAGCATTGGCAACCAAGAACACCTTACGTCTAAGCAGAATGGGGACAACATCCTCCATGTTGGATACTAGGCAGTAGCATGCAGAGAAAAAATAGCAAACACATAAAGAATACATCAACAGAGCCAAGATATTCCAAATAAAGTGGAGTTGTTGGAAGGAGCATAGCAAGGATTAAATTAACAAGGAGAAGGGAATAGGGTTATCATGCTTCCTGGGCAGGATTCTCTACCTCTCCTGTCACATTCTCACCCCCAAGCCATGGGTGATAGTCATGGTGAGCAGAGGAGTCCTTTGGCTCCTTGACACTGAGCTGCTGCACCACCACCCCCATCTTATTCTTGCTTCCCCATAATCCAGCAGGTGTGAGGGCAGGTGTCTAACACAGTTCCCTTGCTTGGGAAATGACACAAGGTCATCCTCTAGAAATAATGTTTTGAGGTAAAGCTGGTTATACTTATAAGAAAACAGTCCTTAACCGTAAGCGCTTCCTAACTAGTCTCCTCTGATGAATCTTTTTTAATAACGAAATGTGAGGAGAGATTCTAAAAGCCAATTAACATCTGAGAATAATTCAGACTTAGAGAACACAGTTGTAACTAATTATACAAGGAAGTAAATGAGTGGGCCCCAAGAACCAATCTATAATTACAATACTAGTCACCATATACAGCACAACAAACTTTAAAATTAAATGTAAAATATAAGCAACACTAAACTTATTAGTATAGTAATTAACAGAAATCATTAGTTGATCATTAATTAATCTCCCTGGTTACTACCCTTATCTCTGGTGGTCTGCAACTTTATGGCAATATCTTGAGGTGCAAAACTCATTTATAGAGTGTCAGCTTTGGAGGGAGAAATTATTTTAAAATCTTAAAATAACATTTTTTTTTTCCTCCAGTTGCTATGTTCTATTGGATAAAAAAAAATAATAGATTGTTAATATAATCTTTTGGGGTGACTCCCCAGTCATTTATAGAGAAAAGCTGGCCATTACTAAAAGGGGAAGCATTTGTAGTTATGCTGTTTTTCCTCATCCAAATGTTACGTGTTTCATTTAGGAATTAAATGGGACATTCCTGCCTTTTATGCTTTTAGATATTGTTTCAAAAAGAAAATATACTACTGTGATGTCACCAGCCTACAAGTTAGAATGTCTTCCAAGAGTCCCTTTAGTACATCAGGAATATCTTCTCATAGAAGTATCATTTTAGTTGTGTTGGTTATTTTTTCGGGTAAGTCCACAGAATGATCTATTAAATACCTTACATAAAAATATTAAGATCTACTCTAAGCTTGTTCACATGAAGGCACTGTCTGCATGGAATATGAGGTCTGAGTTATAATTACATATGCTTAAAAAACATGGGCTGGGGCCCGATCCTCAACATCTACTTAAGAAAAGGTGTATGACCAGGTCAGTCATTCTCTAATTTCCATAAATTGGAGAACAAAAGTTCCTTGTACATGTGAGACGATCCTCCAAACTTCTAACTATAAGAATAAGTCATTAGGAAATCCAGAACATGGATTATATTTGCATATTTAATTTGATCACTATCATGTAGCAATTTCCAGTACAAATTAAGGATGAAAATTATTATTTTTCCTTACTCCTGTTCTTTAGAGTATTAAAATAAGTACATAATTTGGGATATATAGCTTTTGGTAAATGGATGGAAAATTTCCTTTTCTGATTGTTGAAATTTTGCTGTACTGTCAAATCAAGAGCAATATAAATCGAATAAATAAATGTACCCAAAAATCTACAACTGTATTATAGGACTAACTTAACATAGGGCTACTATATAAAGAAATGCCTTTGTTCTATTGCATCCTCTTTTTGTTAAGTAAAATTAAAATTACTCAAGTATTGTGATGTGTGTTTTAAAGGCATAAGCCATTGTTTCCATGTTACTTATAACGGAAACTCTATAATAAAGCTTTAGGAGTATTATGCATTTTGTTGAAAACATACACTGAGGTAATAAGCTAAAAAGACAGAGGCTCATAACCAACATTTTACTTTTCAAGCCATGGGAGTCCTGGCATATCCAAAATTTTACGATGATAAATCCAAACACTTCACCTCACTTCATTTTTTTTTTTTTTACAAAAACACAGCTGTAACATGTTCCATTGGCATGACAATAAAGTCCAAGTAGTAAGAAGATAGACTTTATTACTGTTCTTTAAGGATTAGCCTATATATGCACCTCTCGGCCAAATAAACACTCCATTATAAACATTAGGTCAGTTACTGTACCATTCTGTGGAAACAGGATAAATAGGGACCGCCACCATGTCTGTTGACAATACACTGGTCTCACATTAATTTGATTGAAGGTGGCCTGCCAACACATCTCACTTGCCCCATTTGAGAGCACTCAGATAAGAAAACACAGTGATGTTGAGCAGATAGGCCTGGTGACACAATAGAGCACAACTCACTGAAGAAGTGTAATTACAGTGATTACTTCAGAAAAGAGAGCGGATACACTGATGGGAAGAAGTAAACATTGCCACAATTACAGGAGCCCGGCTCCCTTTTGGTGTGGATACGGGCGTCCCAGACAACACCGACTAGCAATAAGAACACAGAAAGCTTTGCAACTTAACAACATAGAAGCACGTAAGGTTACAAAATGGCATAAGCCAATGTGCCGAAGTGCTGGAACAAAGGGCCCCGTCTGTTTTGGGTAAATTCAGTATATCAAATAGATGAGCCAAACAGAGAAGGCTTCCTCCTACAATTAAAACTAAGTACAAACGTCAGGAAAGTTTGCCCCCAGAGGAATGTAATCTGCAGATGATTTTTAAACCTGTTATTCTGATGGCTGTGAAGCAGAAACCATGTGGGTGTCTAGTTCTCCCAGGTAACAGTCCCATGAGACCAGCTGTAGAGACAGGGAAGCTTCATCTGTGCCACTCACTGGGCATATACAGAATCTACTGGCATCAAAGTACCCAGGAATCATACCATAATCTGACAAAAATAGGGGAAAACTTCACTTCTCCCCAGTCCACTAGATTAGAGATTCAAGAAGAAAAACAGAGCTTGCAAAAGGGCCCAGAGCTCAGCTAGTATAACCTTGCCTGCCATTTCTGAAGAAACAGACTTCCAGAGGTTTACAGCCTGGCCTCAGATTGCACAGCAAATTCTTGAAAACAGGGCTAGAACTTAAGTCTCCCAACCAGCTCTGTGTTTTCCACCACAATCAAACAGTTTTTCAGTAACAAGTCTTACAAAATAAGAACTGTTTAAGTACATTTGCACTGTAAAAATTACAAAATACTTCAAAAGCATTTGAGTCATCTTATTTGATTGTCACCAGATCTCTGTGAGGTCCCTAGAGATATTTTTATGTCAGATGTGTATGTACCCATATATGGATAGATATAAAAAGAGAGACAGAGTGGAAGAGAGACAGAGAGAAAGAATGTAGTAGCTCAAGAAACAGAGGGTAAGAGAGCGATAGTGAGTGAAAAAGCCAAAGAAATTGTCAGAGAGACACACACAGATACCCCTTCCCCCCTCAGGCACTGGCACAGGCAGGCAGAAAGGGAGAGACAGTGGGAGCTTAAAGTATTTGCCGAAGGTCCAAGAGCTGCACCTTAAGCCCAGTATTGAAATCCAAATCCCTGTGCTCCTTCTACAAACATTAATGAAGGCTCCGAACCATCAGAAACATAGGTGAATTAGACTACAACTTCTTAATTTTATTTTTGGTTGTATTTCTTTAATTTTGGCCCCCACCCCCCCCCCATCCCTTACCTCTGAATAGGATGATTAGAATGGAATGGGTATAATATTTGTAATAGAATCAAAGCAGTGGTGATTGTCCACATGGTTGACAAAGTAACTTTTCATTGTAAACAGCTAAGTCCTGCCTTGGGAAATAACATATCAAGAGAAACTTACCTTTCTGCTCTCGTTAGGGATTTAATGACTTTTACAACTGGGGTTCTTAACCTGGGATTCAGAGATGCATTTGACTGTAGCTGTAAACCCTTGATCCTGTATGCAAAATTTAGAGCATATGGGCATTTTCTAGACAGAGGGTCCATCTGATTCTCAGAGGCCTCTCACTCAGAAACATTATGAGTTTGTGGGAGGATTAATGACAATATGTACCTTTTTTTTTTTTTTTGTACATCAAAATTTAACTATCAGAATGAACTGGACAAAATAACTCATTTCAGAAAACCAGTGGTAATCTACAGTGCTCTCAAACCCTGTTAAGTTTGTTTTTGTTTTTTTTTTGAGTTTAACAGCAAAATATTTCTCCATTCTTTTTGCTCTAGCCACTTTTAACATGGACCTCAATGAAAAGGATGTGAGAAAGTGAATTTCATTTTAAAAGGACCATGGCCCAATTCATAACTAACCTCATTATGTTTGGGATGGTTTGGTAGTAATAGCAAATTAGTAGGCTTTTTCTTTTTTTATAAAGCAAATCCTATATAAAAATATACTGTATTTATTTTATTCATGGGCTGTGCTATTCATCAACATTGGAACAAACTTTTTTTACAAAAAAAGATTTATTTATTTTAGAGAGAAAGAGAGCGCAGGGGGATGGGTTAGGGGAGAGGGAAAGAGAGAATCTCAAGCAGACTCCCCGCTGAGCCTGGAGCCCAATGTGGGGCTCCATCTCACAATCCTGAGATAATGACCTGAGCCGAAAACAAGAGTCAGACGCTTAAGCGACTGAGGCACCCAGGTGCCCCCGGAACAAACTTTTTTGAAGCTAGACCAAAGGCTATCATCTCATATGTTGATACCTGTAAAGTTGCCAGCATTGTTTGCTTCCAAATTAAAGCAGAATTGTAAAAAGGCCTCATCTGTAATGCTAAGTAAGGTACAACACTGTCAGGGTCATGGGGATAAGCCAGGGACAAAGAATTAGAAAACAAATACTGTGGTAGCTGGTTTCCAAAATGGCCTCCAATCAACCACACTTCCCACCTTTCTTGAGTCACCTCCAACAGTGAATTGTCAGATCCTGGCTCCCTTTCCACAACAGAATACCATAGAAGCAGCATTGAGCCAATTGTAGATGTGAGCTTTTACACTTTGGGGGGCCCAATCTTTAATGTAAGAAGTAGCCATTCTCGTCAAGAGGCCGCATGGAGAGGCCACGGTGAGAGGATGAGCCTCTCAGACTAATGTAGAGAGAAGCCCAGCTGGTCAGTGTCTCAGCTGAACTTGAGTTTCCCACAGTGCCACCAAGGTACCAGACATCTGAGTGACCATACGGAACATTCCAGTACCTGTCATCAGGATGGCAGCCTCAGCCAATATCACCTTCTGAAGGGGAAGAACTGCTTATCTGTGCCAGTCAACTCCCATAATCAGGAGAAATAACATGTTTTTAAACCAAGTTTTGAGGTGATTTGTGAAGCAGCAATAACCAAAACTAAGGTAACATGGCATAAATACTGAGTTTACAAGAGGAAATTTAGAAGATGATAAAGTATAAATAACTGAAGTTTATCTCTGTTGAGCACGAACGAAAAACATTTATTAAGTACTAACTAAACTGCCCACCACTTATCTCATTAAACCTCATTACTACAGTGACAAAGAGAATATAACATTACTGAGTAACATTATTGCCCAAGGTCGCAGAGCTAGAAAGTGAAAGTGCCAGAAATTGAACACAGATTTTATTTCACAGCCTCGATGATGGACTCATTCTATTACAATGGGTAGGTTGAGGAGAGGGAAGAGAGAAAAGAAGGGAGGAAGACTGACACACAGAGAGAGAGGCATGGCATTTAATTACGTGACGGAAACCCTTCTTATGCATAATCCACGCTTTTAAAAATAGGAAGATGCTCCATTAATTTAACCTATGTTAGCAACGGATTTTGTCATAATTACTGATACTTATACTGTAGCTGCAATGTATTGTAATATAATAGGCACTCAGGGACACATAGATTTACTTGAGTCTATATTAAAATGATCCCAAATGATGTACGTACATCAGTTATATACATGTTCCTCTTTCTGATTTTTATATATTTTGCTTCCCTCTTGCTGTGAGGCTGTCTCTTGTCTCTAGGAGGCATGGAAAACTTGACAACCAAGTTACATGATCTTTGTGAAGAAAGAACATAGCTTCAAAGTGAGTTTGCAGGACTTTCCAAGGAATGAAGTGCATGTTCCTCCTCACACAAAGCTCAGTGTCTGGGAGAGCTGGATAAGTAAATCCTAGATGACGAAGTCTTTAGTTAGGTACTGACTTCCTTGCAACATTGTGACAGGAACTAAAGGCATAGTTTCTGTTCTGAAGAGCTCTCCGCCCGGTGGACAGCCTGGTAGTTTTCAAATTGGGCTCAGTGGGAACGAGGGGTCTGCACCAATCCAACAAAAGATGTTTTACAGATACTGCAATTAAGTATTTTCTGACAAGTGCTAAAGACTGAAAACTATCCTTTCGTTGTTTTTATCCATTTTATAGTTTGGGTTCTGAGTCTGACTTGGTTTGAAAACAAAACATTCTACTATGGGAACACTTGAGAAAATCAGTGCTTTGGGAGATGCACTGTGCAACGCTGAGGATGGGTGATGGAGCCATGGGGTTGCCCGGCTCAGGGACCTTCAATATTGGCCAATTTTTTTTTTTCTATATGCAATAAAAAATGTAATGCTTTTAAAAATGAGAGCTAACCTTTACCCAAGAAAGTTTACATTGCTGATACTCTGCTGTTGGCCACTGTCTAACTCAAACACCTGTAACACTGGCATTGCCCTGGAGCTCAGTTTCATCTATTTGGGAGACAAAAGACTTTTGATAGCAAGTCATTAGAGTGTTGGCAAACATATTTCTGCTGTACAACACCGGGCCATGTTGTTGTTAGTGGGAAGATATTCAGTCGGCGAGGGCTGCCCAAGAAGTTTCTAAAAGGCCAATTGTAAAGGACTTAAGTCAAGCAAAACTTATACCTAGTAATAATTGCTTCTTTCAAAGTGTACTCAGGGTACTTACTGATCAAAATGTATACAGCTATCCTTTAAGGACATCCACAATTACTGTTGTCATGTCTCTAGTTAGGCAGTTCAAATTGCTGAAAACTTTGGTAATGACTACTTGGCTACATTTGAATAAAGGTCATTTGCCCCTCCATTCACAGCTCATACAGTGCCTTTTGTACACATATCTCGGGGTCTTTTACAAAGAACACTAATCAAGACACAAAATAACATTGTGGCAAATAATCTTGTCACAAATTCCATTACACAGTAAAAGCTAAATAAAAAATAACAGCTTTTCTGCCTGTATTTAAAAATTTATATCACTTAGTGTCAAGCAATTCAGAGAAGAGAATTCTACAAAAAAGAGGAAAGTGACAGGAAGAGATCCATTAACTCACACACACACACACACACACATGCACACACACTTCCACCAAATAAAAGTGTTAAGAATAAACCTGCAAAATTAGCAATTAGGGACAGGATTTTCTACATTGTTAACATATTTTACCAAGAAATTAGATAAACTGATAAGCTGGCTACTCTGAAATTACTCTGGGCAAATATATTCTCTGAAATTTAGACAATAACATAGTATCTCAATTTCAATGTTTACACAGTTAAAATTCCTGTTGAACCTAGCTAGCTTATGGCCTGCTAAACAAGTTCAGGTGCTTTTGCTTGCTTAAGAAGAAAAGTATGAATTATTCCTACCCCCATTTCTCGGGCCTCACAAACATCCTTTGAAATTCCATAACCCTCTAATCCATGATTTCTCAAAAATGTCTGCATTTGCTGAGTAATTTTCAGTGGTTCTCAAACTCAATTCTAATTATCATTCCTATTTTATAGGTTAAGAAAACTAGAAGTTGCAGGAAATGAGTGACATTAGCAAAATAGCGCATGTAGGAATTGGTCAATCACTATAGCACAAAGAATACTAATTGATGGGCGCCTGTGTGGCTCAGTCGTTAAGCGTCTGCCTTTGGCTCAGGTCATGATCCCAGGGTCCTGGGATCGAGTCCCACATCGGGCTCCCTGCTCGGCAAGAAGCCTGCTTCTCCCTCTCCCATTCCCTCTGCTTGTATTACTGCTCTCGCTATCTCTCTCTGTGTCAAATAAATAAATAAAATCTTAAAAAAAAAAAAAAAAGAATACTAATTGATTTTGCCTGAGACAAATATTTTGATCAATTCTTTTTCCTTCTCACATATAATTCATAGGTATTAATTTGAAGGGAGCACTTAAAAAACATTACCTAGCTCATCATAATCTTAATAATTATTAGATAATTACATATATAAATGACCTCGAAGAACTCATAAAGACCTAAATTCATTTACACTGCCTGTCTTCCTACATGCCCTCTCAAACATACCCACACCCACTTTCCTTTAATAAATATGTGTGTCCTGTGCCATCATGCTTTCTTTTGAAAACATTGAGGTGGCGAGCACTAATAGGAAAAGATAGATTTTCATGTGTACTCACTCCCATTCTTTTATTCAGTTAGCATTCAAAGTTCGTCTAATGCACACAGTCTAGCATCATAGTAATTAAGGGGCAAAGTCTGGAGCCAGATGTCCAGAGTTTGGATTTTAACCATATGATGTGCGGCAATTTAATTCACCAATGTGGGCCTCAGTTTTCTCATCTGTAAAGTGGCACCTACCTCATAGGATTGATGTGACGATTAAATGAGCTAATACATGTAATGTGCTGAGAACGACTTGTACGTAATACGCACTTGATAAATATTAACTATTTATGTCACATTCAAGGCCCTGTGCTAGACATTGAAGATGCAGTGGTAAATAAAAATAGGCACAGTCCATAGCCTTGATAAATATTCAGTCTAGTTTTTGAGCTTTATGCACCATTTCCTCTTATTAAAATATATTATAAGGTTGCTATATGACAACAAAAAGACTTTATCAATGAGGGAAAGCTGAAAAAAAAATCGAAGCTTTATATATTACTGCTTCTAGTACAGATAAAATTGTGTGGCAATAACATTATCAATTTTTCCAGGACAAAATTATGTTTTCAGCATATTTTGTGATTTATTGATTACCTTAAAACATCAGTATTAATATTTTAAAATATCATTGCTAATGTTTTATATCAGAAAGTTACCTATTTTAAGTTTGCGATTTTAAAATATTTATGTAACCTTAGTTTATTCAGAGCAACACCTTCCCCTTACCAATGAATCTCTGTCCATAAGATGGAAGTCAGTGCAAAATGAAAAGTGGGTTTGATGCAAAAGAAATGTACTTTTCAGGAGGTTTTTCTTTTTCTTTTTTTTTTTTTTACTATTTATTTTAGGAACATTTTTATGGATACTTTTTTTTTTCTTTTTCTTTTGTTCTGAAAATCACAGAAAGGCAACAGGTTATTTTGAAGGTCTATGTCCGATGTTACCTAGACAATCTATGGTGTGGACTTAAGTTTGCATAGATGTTTCACTAATCTGGAGCCAAGAGCTAATATGAATATAAAAAGAATCTGAAAGCTACAGTGTCCACAGGTCTCATTTTGAGTAGGTAAGAGTCTTGACCCATGAATAATCTTGAGGATTGGAAAAAGGAGCTTTCCCATTTAATTTCATTAACTGTTGTTCTTATTCCCACCTCCTATCACTGATTTCATTCCATTTCCAGAACTATCATAGAGATCACATTACTGAATCCTGGAGACAGGATGTTGCACAACATCTAATATATTGTATAATCATCGGTGTTTGAATGGAGGGTGTATCGGGATAATCAAAAGTCCCTGTAAAATTGTAATTGTTTATAGCCAAGGGTCTCATGTTATTTGGCTTTAATTTTGGCACAGTACTTAGCACCAATCAGGTTAAGAAAAGATTGGGGCGCCTGGGGGGCTCAGTTGGTTAAGCGACTGCCTTCGGCTCAGGTCATGATCCTGGAGTCCCGGGATCGAGTCCCGCATCGGGCTCCCTGCTCGGCAGGGAGTCTGCTTCTCCCTCTGACCCTCCTCCCTCTCATGCTCTCTGTCTCTCATTCTCTCTGTCTCAAATAAATAAATAAAATCTTTAAAAAAAAAAAAGAAAGAAAAGATACATTATTGACAAAAATGGTGACAATCTCCTGATTGTCTCACTCATCCTCAAGAGCACTAATGCTCTATGTAACTATTTGTTTAGGGCAGTTGGGACTTCGACCCACTTTCAATCTTAGTAACACGAATTGGGGTGTAACTCAATGCTGTATGTAACTTCCAAGCACCAAGCACATCGTCATAAAATGGATTAGGATTGCTTTGTAAAGAGAAAATAAATACAAGGGAACAGACCTCCATTTGTGTGAGTCTCTATGACTTGTTATTTTTCATAAGCCCTTACACTTAATCATTTTACCTAAAAAATATAAAGAAAAGAGAGAAGTGGGAGTATTTTATCAATTTTTAATAATAGAAGAATCCAATCAGGAGACTGATAAATTTTGGAGGATACTGAAGCCTGAGATTAGAAGTTGGACCAGGGGTTTCTAATGTGAGTTTTACCAGCTCTGTTATCTTAAGACTTCATTCTAAAACATACTGTGTTAAAAATATATGTATGTATTTGCACACACACACACACAGTGCATATTCAAGAGACTTTCTGTTCTTCTCTAAGAACTGGTTTTCAACTAGAAAATATGGTATCTCAGGCCATGACCCTTTACAAGCTGAAGTAGCCAACACTTGGCAAATCATGACCTGGATACAGTTGGTGGCCCAAATGGCTCCTACACATTTATTTAACAAAACTCATATGTATTAAGTACCAATCGTTGACAGATTCCAGAGATATATAAATAAAATATATAGGACCTCATAGTCCAATGTTGGAAACAAGATTACAATTATTAGATAATGTAGTACAAGGTGTAACAAAAATAGACGGCAATAGCTTTACATCTTGTGATATGTTGTCAGTTGAGTCTGAAAATACAGAATACACAGTTTGGAAACATCACACATACCATATTCCCTCCATGTTCCTAGCCTCCACCATCAAGTTCTGCCACTACCTTTTGTCACTAATCATATCCTCCTCACTGAAAAGGTAATCACCTTATTATGACTCATGACTGATAAATTCATTGTGATATATTGTATTGGCAAGTCTGATATATTCCAGACTCTTGAGGCTGATGCTATCTTTTCCCCACATATAAGCTTTGTTTCTCACAGAAAAATATATGGTTTAAGCTCTAATGTTTATGTCTCCTATAATGATACATTTGTTGCAGTACCCTACACACACACACACGCACACACACGCACACACACTGAGATCTACACTTGCAAAGGTTCCACTAATATCCTGGAGTACTACAGAGTAAGTGACGTGAGCTAGGGAGGCTTTCATTGCTTCTTCAACACCTTTTATAACAACTCTTTCAACAATGTCAAATTAGATCAAGGTTAAAAGAATGCTGTTTTGGATCAAATGACTCAGATTAGGAATAAGTAGTTTTCCTTCTGCAAATAATCAGACACATAAGTAGTGTTAGCAACAAAATATATCTCCCCAAGATTATTCATGTACAAAATAAATAAATCTGTACGATTATTAATTAATTAATATTATCCACAGGTTGCTCTCACACTTAGAGATATCCAGAGATAAACTTTTTCTTGATGCTGACAAATGATCACCTTACACTGTTTACTGGACATCAAGAGTTCTAAATATCCAGAAGCTTTAGGGCAAGCTCTGTGACAGGCTACTCTAAGTCAGAACTAGATTAGAAATGAAACCTGGGTTATAATGAAGCAGTGAGAAAATCAGGAAGGTATCCCGTAACACTTGAAAGGCTAAACTTATGCCTAGAATGAATCCTTGTGGACAACCAAATCAAGCTCCCCCCCCCCCCAGAGGGGTTCATCAAGCCAAATTTCTGTTGTGTGCCAACCCTGAGAAGATTAGATTGCTTCTACCTGCCCAGTAAGAAAAACTGGGACACCAGATCTGGCGTGGCAGTTGGGTTAGAAACCTACTGAGGAGTCAGAAGCTAAGCTACCAAATGATTAAACTTGCTTCTCACGGGCATTATTTTCCAGTGTTTCATCAATAAGGAAGCAGGGGCCTCTGTACTATTTCACAGGGTGGGAATGCTTTCTGGAGTTAGATTGTCAAGAGCTGCTTTTTAAAATAGCAATACTCTTATCATAGTAAAACTTGCCTGCTGAGTCAAAAGGAAAGTTGGCCTCATCTGCCTCTAGAGCCCAGGAAGAATTTAAAATGTAAAGATGCCTGGCATGATTCCAGCTGTTGGCTACCACGGATACTTTTAAATATCCACTCTTTTATTGATCTGAAAGTATATGGATAAGCAGGTATACACTATAAATGGAAAACATAAAGAAGGCTGTCTTTAAAAGTCCAGTCGAGTAAAAGCAAACATTAAGAAATCTGTCCTTTTCTTCTGTCCACCCAAAGAATCTGGTTTCACTAGACCCCACGACAGGAGAAACATGCGTGCATGCACACACACACACATACACACACATGCACACACACAAATGAGTGCCAAGGCATATCTCATTTCTTATAATGATGAAGGAAGAGAGAGTTCCAGAAAAGAAATAACATTTCCAATGAGGATATGAAATCTAATGCTATTCTGATATCAAGACTACCTTTCTCTAATCCCCATTGATTTTTATTCAGCTCAATTTAAAGCTATCATAGAACTCTGTTTTAGGAATCCTCCTCACTCTCAGCAAATTTAATTAGCAAGGATGAGACAATAGGTCTGTAATGATAAATGACTAGCCTGAAAACATAAATTTGGTAAATCCCAATGGAATCTTTTAGCATGCAATGCATAGAATGTGTCAGAAGAGGCATATGCTTGTGTGATGTTGGGGTATGTTAAGGATCTGACCGTCAGACAGATGGGTCTATGTGTGTGTGTGTCCGTGAATGTGTTTAGGTGGGGTTCTCCCAAGGTTATCCGAGTAAAGGTGAAAATTCAAGAATTTTCAAGAATTATATAATAGTTACATAAGACAAAGCAGAAGCCTAGTGCAATTAAGAGAAGCCTATATGTAAACAGCAACGAGTTCTTTCACTTGACCAGACTATGGGGATAAGAGGGAGGTGGAGTTCCCTATGAGACGTTTTTAGTAGGTCATGCCAGATAGTGTGGAAAATAAGGAGAATTCTTTACACTTTAGGAAAAAAAAAGATTTCACAAATACGTAATAGAATATATGGTACACAGTGTACTCAACCTAATGTTCTGAAAACTGTAGGTATGTATAATAATTTTGTGATTTGGAAGCTAAAGAATGAAGTGAAAACTGCAGTTAGAGCTCACTTTCCCAGGTTTAATATAAAACTTACAACCTGGGAAGAACACTATTTGCCCATTCCAGGTGTTCCCTGAGAGGCAATGAACTGTAGGAGCTACTAAAGAAAAGAGGGAAGGACTAGAAAAACCATCATCAGAACCTTAAAAAAATAAAATAAAATAAAAAATCCCTCATATTCTCTCTCTTGGGAGGGATAAGTTGTCATTTGGAAAACAGATATTAGGGTAGCCTTAAGAACACATTGCTCATGGTACATAAGTTATTCCTTACAAAGTAGAACTCTCTAGGCATCGCACAGGGGCATTTGGGGGATGTCTGCCTCCTTATTGGGGGACTGAGTGATAGGACCTAGGCTGTGGAAAATTCAAAGGGTCCGGCCTCCAGGGCACATGGGCACACTGATGGTCCCTTCCAGGAAACATCTCCCCTTTCTTTCTCTCTCACTGGTTCTGACATTTCATCAGTGAGAAGAGAGTGAAGCAACTCTTACTTAGGTGGTCAGTTCTTTCATGCCTAAATTTCATTATTCTGTGAGTGTTCTTGAATGTTCATCCAACAAATGGTTTCACAGCCAGGAAGGAGTCAAAGCAGCCACACCACCTATACCCACCAATGAATCCCCCCCTGTACCTGACCAAGTTCATAAGTTTCTTCTTTTCTCTACTCAATATCCACACATTCTATGGTAATTATGCAAAAAAAAAAAAATAGAAAGAAAGAAATCTACAGAAGGAATGATAAATAAGGTCAATGGATTTATTCAAAAACCCAAATTAGCCTTTTGGAAACAATTTGAGATACAAGATGATAAAAATCAGAACAGAACCAACTAAGCAGAAATATTTTGGGAACGACCCCCTCTTCTATTGTCATAGCTACCATTTCTTCAACAATTTGAGTTGAACTAATCTATTAACCACAATTGCCAACCTAAATTTCTAGGAAATTCTGTCCTTGGGAACCCAAAGCATTCTCTAAATGCATTACCAATGCATTTTAATGTGTGAAATTAAACTAGATGTTCTTCTGAATTGGAAGATGTGATCCAGAAGCTCTTGGGCAAATAGAACCTTCAATTAGCGTAAGAACGCAACTAGGTTTTCTCCACATGTTGAATGAAACCTTGTATTTAATCTAATAGAATACTCATGTCTTGAGTTTGTCCCAGAATGACATCTTAAGTGGTCTGCAATATTTTGGTCAGTCTATGAGAGGGTAGATATCAACTGGTTTCTGAGAGAGCAAAAAGAATAGGCTGACTTTTAAAAAGCATATCTTACAATGGTAGTTTGTTTTCATTTGTTGGGTAGCAAAAATCCCCTAAATTAGCAGAGATTGTCAATGAAACACCCAGTATGCCTGACAACTGCACAGTACGAAAACCCAATGTCAGTCAGGTTATCAAAACACCAAGATAAAAAATAAGCTTCAGAACTCATAAATTCAATTGTTGATGTACTAATGAACAGGAAAATTACCAATAAAGGGGGCACTATATTGTAATATTCTGTAATATTGGAGAATTAAGCGCAAAGTAACTTATCACGATTTTGATCTTATTGTATAAAAGAGTCAACTCCCTCTTTAGAGATTTATCAGTTTTCTCCAGGCCTCTGGGTAGCCTAAATGGTTCTGTAGTGCTATATTATTCCAAACTTTCATAATAGTATTCAATGCAGTGTAATGTAATTTAGGCGTGAAAGAATTGATGTACCTAGTAAGAGTTGCTTCACTCTCTTCTCACTGATGGTATCTGATCTAATAGGTGGAGAAATGTGCTGAATTGTCACAGCATACATTTCAATGAGAAAAATCACTACAGCATAGAAATATTTATGGAAGTGCTGACAACATATCAATTAATAATGCTGCAAGATACAAAGAGAGAATATTCTCTCCTTTACAAGTTGAGAAAGAGCCAAGTCAAGTCAAGACTTAATTTCATGCAGCCTCTCGTATTGCAACACAGCAAATAATTTCACCTCTGATGGACTCGGCAGACCTGACTGAGATTTTGCTAATAGCTGGAGTGAAAATGAGCAACGAGATAAACCACGTACTGTGTGCTCCTGTCTACGTAAACCAGAAAAGTAGTGGAGGATAGTAGTGGATACAAGGCATCCTTAACTTAGGAAGAAAACCTACGAACCTGGGGAAGTAGGTACCTCTGAGGCGGGATACCACAGAGCAGGGAAGCAGATCTATTTTCGCTGTATACTTCTCTGTGCTATCGTCTGTCGTCATCTTCTTCAGCCGTGCGTGCTATTAACTACTTAAAAAATATGCTTTTTTAAGGAGTGGCTGAAGAATAGGTACATCATGGAAGAGTAAATTAGCAGGCTATTGAAGAATTGTTGTGATTTCAAATGTCAGTAAAAAAGACAGTTTATTCTGTGGCCTACAGACAAAGTGATTTATGCGCTGTAACAGAAATGGTATGTATAATGACTAAATGTGACTTGATAAACCCCAGTACTGCCATTTATTAATCATCTGTCCTTGTTGAACAATTAGCATCCATGTCCACATCTGTAAATGAGTATAATCACACACGTGTGCACGTGTATCTGCGTGCAGTAGGGGGGACGTGGAGCGTGGTCAGGACTGACTATGTGGGGGAGCGGTGGGGGTTTTATTAAGGAGTGGATATCCCCTACTCTACAGTAAGGGAACTTAAACTCTGGTAGCCAGATTTTGAAAATGGTCAGTTTTCTCCCCATTTTAAAAAGTAAACAAGGGCACTGAGATTTGACGATCTTTCTGCCGCAATATTTCCTTCCTGTACAATCTCTCTGTCAGCTGGGTTCCAAAGCTGCTTCGTCTATGATAGTCTTCTTCAGTTGTAGAAATGCTGAATGCTCTCACATGTTTCCATGGGCCTGCATTTCTGGAAAGTTTATCCGGAATGTTCACTGTTTATTAAACCTTAATATATACATTTTCTGGTTCACTTAAACTTTTACCGACACGAAACCTCAGCCAGCTGGCCATCAGCACTGCCCCCCACCCCCATTTATTAATCTTAGGCCTCCTTCCAAAACCATCTAAATTTCGACCCATTTTATCTATACGAGCAGCCTGTAGTAAAACCTCCGTCCTTTTCCTGTTTTCCTGTGCTTAAGCCAGCTCTAAGTCCCTCTGGAGGCAAAGAGATTCCACCCGAGTTCATGAAATAGAGCTGTTCCAGCAAAGCCTCACCCGGTCTTTAATCTTTCGGGAAGTGTACCTGTTACCCCAGGTTTAAAAATTAAGCTGTATGAGTCACACTGTATCCACCAAGATGAAACAGGCAACAGATTGCTTTCGGGATGAGTTTGCTCTTTCGCAGTTAGTTCCGCAAACCAGTGACGCGAGCTCTACAGTTGCGTCTCTCCGGCAGCCGGGGTTTGCAGGAAGGTACCCCTGGAAGGCAACTGAAAACTACCCCATCCAAGCTGACAGCCTCCTGCGTGCAGCGCTTGCCCCAACAGGCTGGCAAAATGAACCGTAGTTTTGTATAGTAATTCAGAAGATAATTGATTATTTGCCAGTAGTCTGTTTTTGAGTTGCCACTTATTATTATTTTTTTCATCCACTCCAGGGACACACTTTCAATTTCACAGTCTTTTGCACATTGCGGACAGTGGCGTTTAATTTCTTTAAGGAAAAGCACACATTCTGTTTCTATTACAGTTAGACTTGTGGCTCTCCAAAGAGTGGGCCGGGGAACCTGATACCCACGGGGGGAATGTCGAGCTTCATGTCTGCACACTCACGCCAGCCTAGTGCTGGGGCTTCCAAGCTGGGCAGGGGATTAAGCAAGAGCCTCTCTTCGTTTAAGAAAAGACACCTTTGTATCTCACAGTCTTAGGTGTTCTGTCTGAGGGGTGGTAAACATTCCTGAAGATACCATTCTGTAATTGTTTATGGATTACTTCCCTTTATTTTACTGTTAAAATAAGAGTTTCTAACAGAGTTAAGGAAAAAATCTTGTCAGGAAACAGTTGTTTTCCTCCTGCAGACTAACATTCCTGCAGGCAATGCAGCAAATTAACCAATATAAATGTTTCCTTCAAAACACAGAAATCTTTTATCTATTTAGGAACAGATCACACAATATAACATGCTGCACTATTTCTATTAAGCCCAAAGATGACAAAAAATTGAAAAGAATAAATCCATTATAAAGAATTCATATCTGCTGCTTTGTGAGCAATCCATAATACATCGTATTGTGCAAACTATAGGAGATGATGACCTAACAATACAGAATGTAGAGAGGGCTTTTGACAACAGAAAAGCATAAGAGAGAGTATCATTTAATGGAGAGAGAGAAAAAAAAATGATCCTGGATTCTTTTTCCTCCTTTATTTGTTGTATCACTTTGTAAAACCTCTCTATGCCTTGCTCTCTTCATCAGAAAAATGAGACCTATGGTTTTATTTTTATAAAGTGCTTTAAGATTTAGGAGCACCCAGAATGCATTATAGGATGAAAGTCACCATGGTACATGTCACCTGACTGCAGCAGAAAAGGATCTAGGGACCAAAAGCAAAACATGAATCAGCAATGAACACTCATTTTGTTTGTTTAAAACCCCAGGATGTGCAAATATATGTCAGAACTGAGGTTGACCCTCTCTCTTCCTTTACAATCACACATTACTCTATCTGGGTCTGGTTTTAGTAGAAAGTCGAGTAGAAAGAATATGAACGCAGGAAGGGGTAAAGGGCAGGGTCTCTTGCAAGCAAACCCCAAGTTACTAGAGGTGCCGCCAAGGGTTACACGAACTCATGCTGAAGCCCTTTAAGGGCCAGAGGTGGACACAGGTGCACTTCCCTCTGCTCCCATCCTCAGCATATTCCTATTCCCCAAAAGGATGAATCAACAAAAAAGGAGCTGTATCTTCCAAAGGTCCAAAGTTATATGGGTTTTTAGGACCACAGGAGAGTCAGAACTGGGGATAATGTGGATCATTACATTGAGAAGTAGGTCAAGATGGTATACTAGAAATCAGGCGTTCTAGGTTCCGATGCTTAGCTCAACGTAGGCTCACTGCAACAAACCAAACTCTGTGCACCTCTGTTTTCTCAACGGACATCAAGGGTGAGAAAGGTGGGGCCTTGGTTTAAAATGCTCTCCTTCTAAGACCTAGTATTCTATTATTCTGTGAGTGCGTGGATAATGACTGAAGAACTGGAATCTATGTTCTAGTAGGAAAGGTTGAAAGTCAGAAGGTAACTTTCTCTTGGAAATAATATCCTGGCATCAGAATGACAGAAGTGAGGAAAGAAAAGCAGAGAAATCCCACAATCACATGCTTAGCTGGTGGCAAAATGAAGACTTGACTTGGAGATTTGAACATGAAGGCTGATATTTTGTACCCTGCAGTGGATTTCCTGTAAATCCTCCAACTTGAGAAGTCTAAAACTACACTCATTAAAAAGGGGGGGGGGGGGCAAGCACAGTGACTCTCTCTGTCTATGGATACATAGATAGGTACAGAGATATATAATAGATATGTCCATATGTCTAGACAGATTTATATAACATATAATCATTCGATATATATTGTATTTATCAAATGAATACTATTCCCATATAAACCTGTTCTCCTTTTTTACCCTCTGTTTTTGGTTAGCGTCACCCCAGAGGCCTAGTATCCAGAGACAGAAACCCTGGGATGAGTCCTCTCTCCTCATTTCCACTGTGAACCACTTTGCATTCCAAAGACTACCAAATACAGCAGACTTTACCTGTGACTTCTTTCTCCATTTCTATATTTTTCTTTCCCAACATGTTTGCCTCATTCCAGCCTGCATCTGTTGCCTCACCTCTGCCCTCCTGACTGGCCTCCTTGTCTCTAAATCCCTCTGCCATACTATAGCTTAAAAAAAAAAAACCTTTCTAAAATTAAAATGTAAACATATTTCTTACTGGCTTAAAAACTGTCAAAATTCATTAGTTTACCCACCGGATGAAGTCTAACCTTCCTAATGGGAAAATCCAGGCTCTTGCTGCCCATGGGCTGCCTTTTGAGCTCGATTCCCTCCATTCTCCATGCACATTCCATGCTTCAGCAAGAACAAATGCTTGCAGATATTCCCCAGGTTCTGTATACCACTGTGCCTTGGCATATGCTAGTATCTCAGCCTGGAAATCCCTATTCTTTTCCCATATGTGAAATACCCCATTTCATCTTTTTTTTTTTTTTTTAGTATTTATTTATTTATTTCAGAGAGAGAGCATGAGCAGGAGGGGCAGACGGAGAGGGAGAGAGAATCTCAGGCAGACTCCTTGCTAAGTGCAGAGCCTGATGTGGGGCTTGATCCAGGACCCTGAGGTCATAAACTGAGCTGAAACCAAGAGTCGGGTGCTTAACCGACTGAGCCACCCAGGTGCCCCCCCACTTCATCTTTTAAAACCCAAACAAATCATATTGGGATTCCTCCAACTCCACGCTTGCCCTTCCAAGTGCTTCTGTATTTTGGATAAGCTTCCACTGTTTTGTTCTTTATGCCTGTACTGTAATTGGTTATTTGTATGGCTCACTCCCTCACTAAACTGTGAAACCAGTGAGGGCAAGCAAGCATCACCATATCCTTAGCACAGTACCTGGAACATGGATGACCCTCAAACGGTGTTTATGACTATGCATGAATGAACAGACAAGCAAACATTCATTCACTCAACAACTGTTTCACTAAATGCCTCACAAAGGTCAGGGAAAGAGACAAAAACTCCACAAATAACATATAAGAAAAGTCTCTGATGGAGATAAGAACTAGTCAGATAATTAAACTGGTATGATAGAATAGACAACAACTGGGTGTCTACATTGGTTCTCATGGTCAGGAGAAACTTCTTCTAACTCTGAATGACAAGAACTGTCTCATATGTTTTGCCAAGAGAACAGCTACTGTCCTGCTGGATTAGCAGCAGCTCGAACTGAGGGAAAGAGCATAATCAAGGATAATTCAGAGGGTTTTGGTTTTAGCAAGCAAGCAAATAGTAAATCTATATACTCTGACAGTGAATTATCAGGAGGAGTTCAAGGCTGGAGGGAAAGAACTATATAAGCTACACATTTGGTCTCTTCGATTCGTAGATACCTATTGGACCTCTAAGTCGAGGTGTCCAGGGAGGCAGTTAGATACAGGGTACTGGTGTTTTAGGGTATTGTGACCAGAGAGAAGGACTTGAGAACCATCTGCTCCCCCCAAAAGGGTGTTTAAAGACACCATGGAGCTGGATGGAATCACCCAGGAAGAGTGTGTAGATTAAAAAGAAGGGCCAAGCCCTGGGAAACAATCTGACATTTAGAGTTCAAATAGAAGAACTAGTAAAGGATAATGAGAAGGACTACTACTAAGCTAGGAAGAAAACTAGGAGGTCATGGTCAACAAGGAGAAGAAAGTGTATGGAGGCAGTGGTCCACTTTGTTGAACTTTGCTGAAAGATCCAGTAAGATAAAATGCTTAGTTAGTAACATTTAAATACACCAGTTCCCTAGATAAACCCTCTCAGAAGAGACAGGGGAATGACGCCTAATTCAGGTGGAATCCCAGCTCTTCATAAGAAATCATGAAAAATTATCGCACAGTAATAATAAAAAGAAAACCATTATTTTTCTCTATCCCTGGATAAAGCAAAGCTTAAAATGGGTCAAACTTTTTCTTTTTAAGATTTTATTTATTTATTTGACAGAGAGAGAGCTCACAAGCAGGGGCAGCAGGAGAGGGAGAAGCAGGCTCTCTGCTGAGCAGGGAGACTGATGATGTGGGGCTCGATCCCAGGACCTGAAATCATGCCCTGAGCCGAAGGCAGACGCTTAATAACTGATTGAGCCAGCCAGGTGCCCCTAAAATTGGTCAAACTTAGGTGAGATTTAGGATCAATTTCAGGAAGAATTTCTAGCAGCATAGTTAACAAAAAATAAAAAATAATTAAAAAAAGAACCTCTTATCACATATTTAAAGAAAAGGAAAGACACTCATCCAGTTGAGTATTACTCAGTTTAATCACTTTTTGTTTAGGTATATTTTCTAAACTGAAAAAATTAGTTGGTCGAAATCACTCAAAATATGATTGTCATTTTTCTCATATTTTAGGGTACATTCTCTAATAAATCCATACCCAAATACAACTAAACATACACTTTAGCTTCTAGAAACCAAGAAATAGGGCAAGGTATTTGACTTCATACATATTATTGTATGAATGAATCTCTAATTATTATAACTTATTTGTGGGTTAGAAAGAAAATCCATTCTAAAATTTGTAGATTGATGATAAATTGAAATGGCACATTCTCCAATGAAACTGTCAGTCACAGCAAAGCTGAATAAGACAATTTCCTTTTACAAATTCTACATCTCAAGCTATTCTTGTGGCTTTCTTCAAAAGAGATAGTAAAGATTTCACGATTCAGAATCTGCGGAGCAAACTCCCAAAGAAACAAAACTAATGTACATCAAGGCATTAGCCTCTACTTTCCCAGTGCCAAAAATGTTCTTTATTCTAATTGCAGAGGACTTCTATGATTACACATGGTTATCCTTACAACATAGACATGTGTGATTTAAGACGTTAACTTAAATTCTCACTCATAACCTACTAGCGGTTACTGAAGTACTGATACTTCTATGGGGAGCAAAGGATGTTCTAACATTTTGTGCATTAATGGAATATCTAAGTAAAACCAGGAATGACTATCACAAGACCTGTTGTCTTTTGTTGCATAGAAAATATATACAGAAAGGTAATTCTGATGGACAGAAAAGCTTGGCTTCAGCAACACGAGAGCGATCTGCTTGGCTGCACCACAATAATTTGATAATTATCTTAAAATAAATGTGATCTCTTTTAAATTTTAGCTGCTATGAAGCACTATGTCAAATATTAAAATGATGCAGTTAGTTAATACCACAGCACACAGCATGGCTGGCAACGCTGGGTTAGAATAATAGAGTGAGCCAGCTTTTCAAAATGGTCTTGAACGTTTAGAATCAAATAAAACAAAAGAAACCCATAAAGACACTACCTTGATTGCACAAAGTAACCACCTAATTGGAGTTACTAGTAGATATATAGTGCAATGATAACACAATGTGTATTCATCTTTTATGAATGGAGCACTGTAAGCAGCTTAATACCTTCCTCAAAATATACTAAGCACTTGAGATATATGCAAAATACAGTAAAACAAATTTGGCAAAGAGCAAAGACTTTTAGCCTTTATGACAAGAGTCTCCTCCGTAGTTCTGTTTATTTTTGGAAAATCTTTGTTAAGGAATGCTATTGATTTATTTTAGGAACACGGTTAGTTCATCAATAATACTTAACCAACTGTAACATCAAGATCAGACTGGAATTGGGACTATGCTATAACATGATG